CGCGGGGTCATATCAGGTGAGTCACGTGAGCCCGCGGCTTATCCGTGATTTTCTCACGAGATTGCCGCGCTCGCGTTCTCTCTCGAATGAGTATCGATGAGTTGTTCCCGCACGTAGATACCGCATGTTTACATTTATGCCGATATTTATGAGTCCACGTACACGTTCAATGTACACACCCTTTATGTGTTAACGCGATTCGCAAAATCTAGATTCTGAAAGAGCAAAGTGGGAAAATTAGCTACTAGATTCAATTATTTTGCGCAGTGCGAAATGCATTTCCAAAAGATGTCACTTAACTTTCTTATTAATTTTTTAAACAAATGAGAGTGCGCAGTTCACTTACTTGCGCATTGAGATTTAAAATCTACATTTTAATATTTAATTCAAAAATTACTTATCGAGATTAACGCATAATTTTTGCGAATTTATTTACAAATTGCAGAAAAGTAAAACGCACTCGGCATTCTACGACGTACGATGTCGAATTCTTGAGTTCAACTTCGCGAAGTTCTTCGTGATTTCGGAATATCAAGGTGCGTCAGTAATCAGGTCATAAATCCTAGGCCGCGCAATGCGTTTACGCAATACGGCGCACTAGGACGCATGTAATGCACGCGTGTCGGCGTACTCGCAGCGTGGCGTGCATTGAAACGCCTCGCTCGACAAATCAGCCGATAATACGGGTAATACGATTAGAGCGATAATTAATTCCGCTGGGATTTCGTGTCAGGTCGCCCGTGGTCTACTAGACATGACTGTGAAATTGCGATGATTCAATTCACAACTTTCAAGATTATTTCATAATGACGCGGTACGATCTCGCCGAATCAATCCTCTTTCGCTTTATTATTATATAATATCAAAATTATATTGAAATTACTACTGAATCGATCAATCAAAACTATGAATAAACCACTTAGCATGTTATTAATATGTATAATATAAAAAAAAATTCAATGAAAAAATATTTGTTAAGATTGATTATGGAAAATAACTATAATTTTGTTTATACACATAAAAGACTAACTACATAATTCTGTAGATATGTGTCCTATTGCCTTTATTTTATGTTATGTCATCTATTTTTTGTGTAAAAACTGCCATGCCATCATTCAGAAACATTTACTTTTCCTCCACTATCTTAATTACAATGTAATCGGATTCTTATAATTCTAACGATATTTTATATAATTCAATATAAAATACGCGACTTCTCGATCTATCATATCTGAATAAACTTCCACATTGCTCAAACACGCAATCGCGATAAACCAGGCAGGCAGTGGATTCTATTTTAAAGCGACTATCGCGATATCGATTGAAATATCACAACGGAAAACGGTCATAAAAGCGGATCATTATAATTTTTCCGAACAACAGTCGCCAACAACGAACGTCGTTATTCCACAAAACGACTTTCTACCCACGTTATAATTGATTTGTCACAGCGCGAGTCAGAGCGACTATCGATTCGAGCTAATCGACGATGAAAAGCGCGCTACGCAACGATATTGCACGGAAAAATCTGCGTGCGCGAATCATGACGCGGCTCTCGATGTATTAGCGGCTGCGTTTCGCAAAAAGATCGATCGCTCGGTGCGTGTGGGTTAATCTGAGGAACTCGTTTCGCCAATATTTTCCGCCTGTGCCTGGCGCCTCTCCCACCTCGTTTCTGCACTCGCATTCGCGCGCGACGAATAGGGTGTCGTTACCACGTTTATTGAAAAGTAATTGAAACCGTGGAGTTAATGGGCCGCGGTACGCTGCGTGATCAATCACTCGCGAGAAGTATCGCGCATTGAAAGATAAAAGGTATCGGCAAGCGTAGTGTCATTATTTATGCGAGGATTGAATGTGACTCACCTTTTTGATCTGCCGACTGTCAACCTGACACTCGTTCTCTGCAGCGACGTTTTTCCGCGGAGTTGGAAGGTGTATCTTGGCACGCTAAAATCAGCAAAAAATCAAATCAATCGTGTTAAAAATTGCGAGGTACTTTAATATTAATTGTAAGATTTTCTGCAAAATCATGAAACGCAAAAGGAAAATAACTAGTCAGTAATAATATATGTAGAAAGCATCGACGAGATCGATATCTCGCAAAAATAACGCACGTGCTACAGATCGGAAGTGATTTACGACGCATTTTCCAAGCCTAAGATATATCCTCTCTCATATATATCGAATACATGTGCCCGAACGACGCGAAATGCTCGCTCGCTGCGGCGCGCCGCGTGGAAAGACGCCCGGAGGTTCCCATTGTACTCCGGCGCGTTCGCCTAATCTAGATCAGGATTACTTTTATCATTCGCTTGTGCATTACGGACCGCCCCGGCTGTTCGTTACATACGTACGCGTGCAGTGCGTATAACGATCGCCTTTATGCACCGTGAAAAGCAGCGCGCAGAACGCGGCGTGACGCTCGCACGCGCGCTCTCCCGATCAGCACAGGTACAAATAATAACTATTCGCCGGTACCCCCGTTGGTTATCCGCCCGTCGCTCGGCGCACACACGCCCGCATCCGCACGGTGATTTCTCGCAGTATCCGTATTATCTGCAAAACGCAACTTCCGACGAATTTTTTTCCCGCCTCGTACGCGCGCCGAGCGCGAGCTCCGCCCTCGATACGAGCGATTGAATTTAACGGCGCGATTTTGCCGTCGGATTAATGGGCGAGATCGGACAGAATTAGCCTCGCGTTCTCATTCGGCACCGTGTCTTGTATTCGCTATCTGCGCCTTTGTCTCCCATTGTTATTTGCGACGCGAGATATGAAATGGAATGAAAATATTTTACGCGTAAAATACACACATTACTATCACTTAGTTACATGCATATTTTACCCTTTTATTCGAACAGATAATTTTACAAGCGCATTAGAGATAATGGAATTTTTAACGTGTGCTATGCAAATGAGATAAATGAAAGGAAAATTAAACATTTATTTTTTTTTTTTTTTTGTACTATCGCGGCGATAACGATAATTCTATTCACCACAGAATTCTACAATTGATTTTTGCATTACGAGGAAATGTAACTTTCATCAGATTTTTTTGTTTATGCTACAATATCATCCTGTTTATAGGAATTCCATTCTTGATACGATCGATAAAATTTAACAACTTAATAATAGCAACGCACAACTTTCCGCTGATAAAGCTTCATACCTACGAGAAACCAGGTGCTTATAATTCCATATTATTTACCACGAATGATACCGTGAGTCGTTCGAGTACATACGTCCGGCGAGGATTAATATCTCGCAAACGGGAAATAGAAGTGGTAATTGATTGCGCGCTAAAATTCCTACCGATTCCAGTCGTAGAAACTGAATAAGAAGCTGCATGGACCGTTGCGTCCACTTGCACCGATAATTTGTTATAATTTCGTTCACATGTAACATTAGCGAAGCAAAGAAGAAAGTTTACGCGTTTGAAATCGTTGCAAAATATTTACCGGCATCGAAGAAATTTTAAATCAATAAATCCACGGATCTACATGCACAATAAAAATATAATCTATTATAGATATAACCTCTAATATGCGTGCATCTAAAGAAATAATATTCGAGAATTCACGGATCAAGGAGATTAAAATTTACATGTTTAAAGAGTAAAGCTTAAAAATTTCTGTGCTTCTGAGATGTATATGGAGATACAAACAAAAGATTTATATCGTTTTATACCATGAAATCGCGAGAGAAACATTAATCAATCTTCGCGCTTGACGTCGCTCGATTTCCGCGCTCGCGTTGAAAATCGTCGTTGTTTACTACCTTCGAGCGCACCGTAGATGCCGGCCGGCATCTTTTTCCACTTTCCAACGCGTGACGGGAACGCGTACAAAACGCGGTCGTGCAGAACGACGACGGAACAACATCCCGTGGAGCACGAGAGTTCGTAGGAGTTCCGGGAAACAGTCGAACACACTATGCGTTGCGGTTATCAGATAATTTTTTCTTTCGATCACAGATGGCACGACAACCCTTTTACGATTTTGTTGAGTCATCATGAATAAAAAACGAACACTTACCAGTTCGCCAATGTATCGCCGTCCTCTTCTTATAGCGATAACACTACACTTACTCGCGCAGATATAACGATAAGAAAAAACGCGATTAATTGCGATCTCATGTGCTAATTAACGCGATACGATAATCATTCGGCGATATTAGATTACCTAGTAAAGCGCGCCCGATACATTCAGATAGACAAATAAATAAAGCAAAATGTAGCGATGGCAATCATTCGCAGAATGATCTATCTTTTTACTTGACACACTGTATTGATCTTTATCGAATATCGCTTGCCGGCACTTATTCTACACACAATACGTGAAAGAATAATACAAAAATGACGCTCGCTCCGTTCATCGTCGAGCGGAGAAATTATCCGTTAATAATCATCCGTCAAACCGTCGATCATCGTTTCTCGATAATTAGGTCTGTTCTTTATAGCTGAACTGGCTGCACTGATGTAAAATTCAAGCTACACTGTTTAATTCGATACTCCCGACACTCCCGACTCTCCTGACATTTGTTTTCGCGTAAAAAACACACGACGAAATATTTTTCTGCAGGACGCGAACTCCGGGACACACAGATGCACTCACACACATCGCATTTAACAGATAATTTTTATTTTCGATCATAGATAGCAATACTTTCACAATTTTGTCCAAGCACCATGAATTAAAAATATAGATACCAACCACTCGCCAATGTATCTCCATTTTATAACGATAACTTTATCATTTATTCATGTAGTTATAATGATAATGAAAACACACGTTTAACTGTGATCCCGCGCAATTAACATGATGTGATAATTAGTCCGAACGATGAAATGACTTACTCACGGCGGAAATGACATAGCAAGAATTTGACCACGAATTTGACCTCGCGAGTCAGATAATAGCCAATTAGCGCACGGCATTGAGAGCCCTCTATATTCCACTTGACCAGCCAGTCAATGAATTTTTCGTCAGTTCGGAGATGTATCGAGAAGTGATTGAATGTTTCGCACGCATATTTCTACATAAATGTTTCTTGTGTACGAATAAATGTTAGGTAATATATGCCGGTCGAATAAACGTATCAAATCGACTTTTTCGGCTGTCAACGCGTCGTACGCCTAAATAAGTAATCGAGAAGCTACGGACAGTGCATAATTATTGATAGAAAATCGCCCGGTCAGCGAGCGGACGCCATTTTCGCATTGTCCGTTCCTTGCGTCGTGTGGGTCGTGTGCAACAAGTGTCGCGAGTGGTGAATCGAACGACGAGCGCAATGTGAATTTTTCGTCTGGCAGAGTGTCTCGCGCGTTTAATCAAGTGTCGAGTGTACGTGGAGCTCGTAAGTGTCGAGCGTACGTCGAGCCGTAAGTGTCGAGTGAAACGACGACCGACGCTGCGTTATTTACTCGTCCGGATCTCGGGATCGCCGACAAAGCAACGAGCGGACGTGAGGGGCAATCATCACTCATTATACCATTTAATTAAATATTTCATTTCTTATAAAATAAATTCTCGCTATAAAACATAACATTCAAGTGATGTAATCCTCGCTCGAAATAAGCATGAACAAAGCCGCGAATCGGAGTAGTCGATAACCATGCGAGTCAAAACAATAGCCCAATTATCGCACGGGGCAGGAATTTTCTGTATTTTATTTGACTAGCGCAGTTACTGAATATTACGTCATTTTGAAGATGTCTGTGATAGTCGGATATTTCGCGTACATTTTCTCCTCGAAAATACGTCTCGTATACGAGTAAATATCGAGTGTGCCGGATCAAATATACCGAATCGACTTTTTCATCCGTCATCTTTTTCACACGTCACCATCTTTTTCACACGTCACGCGTCTAAATGAGTATCGGGAAACAACGATGAGTGAATAAGCAGCATCGACAGAAGGTTCTCGAAAAGACGGACTACGAGCGAACGCCATTTTCACATTATCTATGCGTCGTATGCAACGAATGTCGTGAGTCGAGCGACGACAGTCAATTTTTCGCCTGCCGGAGAGTCTCACGCGTTTAGTCAAGTGCCGTGCGCGTCGAGCTTGAAAGTGTCGAGTGAAACGACGACCGATATAGCCGGTTCTGTCACGTTCCACATTATTTTCTCGTCGAGAATGTGAATCATCGAGCGCGTAAACGATCATTGTAACGTGCTAATTACATCTTTCCTGATTGTACCTGCTGCATGTTAACAAAGAAAAGACAACTAGAAGACTGATCGTTGGTGAGTTAATTTATTAGGTTATGTACGTAATTAATTTATCTCTCTGAAGCAATTATGAACGCCATACCATTTATTTCATTGTATTTTTCTTGGTATATTGTATATTGTAGTGTGTAGTATCCATGTGTGTTGTTTAATCTTTTCGGATATATTAGCTGTGTAAAAAAGTACGCTGGGTCGTAAAATATCGGGTATATATATATATATATCATTTAAAAACATTCGAGTAACTGTGAACCATACATACAATTTTTATGCTACTAACCTATTACGCATATTTAGGGCCACATTGTAAATTTGTCAGGCAAGTATTATCTTTTTACGCTGTCATATATCGAAACTCTTAAACAAGACTCTTAAATGAATAATCAAACATAGTTGAACACTATATAATCTTGAGAGAGCGCGATAGACAGACAGATCAATATAAGAGTATCTAATATTAGAGTCGAGAAATAGATCCCGTGAAAGAGCAATTATGCAAGAAAATCGAACGTAATCGGTCGACCGAGATCCTCAATAGTATGCTCTTTGCATCAAGGCTACCGCAGCGGCCGAAATGACGATACATCCCGATACGCGAACGTTCACTTTTTCACCATCCGGCCAGCCGTTAATTAACCTACGACCCTTTAATTATTACGTAGGAGGTCGCGAACGAGGCACGCGGTAATATCGAGCAGGCATCGTTTGATACGCTCGAACGAAGTCCATCGTGCTCAGTTCGTCGAGAGCCGAAATTGATCAACCATCGCGCCGTGCACCGGCGATTGTTTCGCCGCCGCGCTGGCCCTCTCCTCCGTCGGCGCGCAACGAAAGTAAATCTCAGAATCGGGTTAAACAAACGTTGCTCGGGACATAATAGCGCCCTAATGATTTGATAAGCACTTTCCGCTGCGCCGCCGTTGCAATAATGCGACCGCGCCGATCCCTCGGGAAAACGAAAGAGCGTGTATCTCTCGAGTAAGCGAAGCAGCCCGGCAGTTAAAGCGGACGAGGCTCGCCGGCAAAAGCGAGCAGCGGTCGCAATGAAATACCCACGCCCACCACTGGAAATTTTTGATCGGTACCGCGTGAGTATCAATTATCTATGTCGATAATTAGTTTCGCGGGGCGGATTACGCAAACGACATACACAGGTCGCCGCCGCGATTCGCGAGATTCTCGCTCGGAATGCACCGCATTGTGCAAGCGTATTTCAACAGGTGTGTATCGATCGTGAGTGCCGATAGAAATAGGCCGCGAAATAGATAATGTTGCAGATAATCGAAAGAGATTAAAGAGAATCAATACGAAAAAGTATTTATTGCTCGTGGAAGAAAAAATATTCACTGCAATTAATTAATTTAATGAACAGTGATGATTTAATCCTAACGCGATGCATTCAAGCTGTTATTAGTCGAAATGATTATATCGTTAGAGCATTTAAACGAAAATCACCTTGATTACATTGCGTAACTCATAGAAGAGTGTCGTAAAGACGGTGATAAAAATGTCACTGCTACAAAATCGTTGCAGACAGTTCATAATTATCGCGAAAGATACGCGCGTGAGAATCGAAAGCTAAGGCATAATTCCAATAATTAGAGATACTAATTTTAGCGAGGCGGATTGAGAATAGAGACGAAATGCAAGTCGTAAAAGTCAAGAACTTTTAACCTCTATGAGGTTCCTCCTCTAACTCGCCTAAGCGATTTCTCTTCGCAATTGAGACATAAAAGTTAGAGCAAAATAACAGGTCTACCGCAATTAGTTTGCGATAGTTAATTTCTGGTGTGAAGCTAAACAAATCGTTCTTTTGAGCACAGTTGCACTCTTCATTGTAACAAGTAATCCACGATTATCTCGCTCGAAACGGTGACAATTCTATTTTTATTATTCACTACGTATCTCGAATTTTATTCATTTCTGCTGTATTCTATTAAATTGTTTATTTTTTTTTAAACTTCTCAAAATTCTAACTTATAGATACATCATATCCTTTAGATATGATATATTACTACTTATTCTAGCTTACACTTCGCGCAATCGTTCGATCGGCCCATAAAGGGCCCTCTCAACTCTCAAGCCCACCTCCACGCGCGCGCTTCCGCACTGTTATAGAAACGGAATCGTCCGTGATTTATTGCCAGCCGGCGAAATCATTCCGGCGGGGTTTCGTCACTTTCGCGGAGCGAAATGGTGCCGGCGCGGCGCAACAAAACAAATTGAAAGACACGAGCGGCAAATAATAATTAATACTTTCGTCGTCGATCGCTATCGGCCACGCCGTTTCCCGCCTGCGCCGCTGATCGACAGCCGAAGAGAGTCGGATGGCTCTCGTAGCTCCTCGCGCACCGTGTGATCCGATGATTTATCGTTGCCACTACCCGCCAATCTATCATGCCCGATAGCGCCGATAACCGAGCGCCGTCGGATCTCTAAAGCTAGAGATTCATAGGCGTCGTTTTTGAAGGTCTTGACGCATTCGAGACACGTCAAATGATGCTTAGAGATTTTTTGTTCCTCGATCAATAGAATATGGCGAGGTTGTTATCGCAGAACTCTGAATTGTAGTCATAATGCTATAAGAAACTATCGTTTTTACCTTTTAAATAATAAATAAAAGAGATTTTACTCTAAATTTTAAATAAGAGCTTTGAATTATATACTATTGTTTCGAGCAATATTAGAACTTTCTGAAATATTTTCGGTTTTGTAAGAAAGGAAAACTAGACGCCTATGAGATTTAGCTAGTGTGCTCTCATTACTGCCGGGTAATCGCGAACCCATAACGCGCCAAGGTTAAGGACTTTAGGGCATCACGGGACCGTTTGAAAGATACACATTTCTTATTACTTTCTGTGTAATGTGTCTCCTCCGATCGGCATCTTCTCCCCCTACGGCCACGCTAGCAGCACACGCCGCCAGGCACTTTCACGGGATCGTCGAATTCAATTAAAGCACATTCAGAACGCTCAATTCTCTGGTGAGAATATTTTCTCTGTCAACAGCATCTGTTGAAATACTTGAGCGGCGCGCAACTAGAACAACCACAACGTCATTCTCGAGTTTAGAAATAGAAATGAAGGCGATGTCATAAGATCAGATATAGTCATTACCAAAGAGGATTCGACGGACATTGCCAAACTGACATTTACAACGTCGGCCATTGTGTTCGTTTAAAAGTGGTTCACGTTGGATATTGGTCAGGAAATAAAAAAATGCCGTGAAAAGAATACCGAAGTGCGCGACTAAATAAGCCTTAAATAAACACTATCTCCGATGGCTTTCACGTTCCATTTGCCGGCTCGCTTTTTCACTGCCCTGCGAAAACATTGTAGCGCGCATGGAACATTTAACATTGCTGTAAGATATTTCTGGCTGGATGTACGTGGCGCCAGGGAATTGAACTTTTCCACGAGTTGCCGATACGATCAATGACTTTCTCGATCACACCTGTGGGATTATGAGCGGAACGCGACCGACATGCTCGCGCGAAATAGAGAATGTATTGAAATAAATTAATGCGACGTACGTTTTTTTTTTTCGACGAATAAATAACGGCCTGACCTGCGAATTATTCCGAGATATTAAAGATATAGGCGGAACGTCGCGAACAATGCTCTCGTAATCACGCGCTCTTAATTATTATTACATTGTCTCTCTCTTTCTTTCTCTTTTTCTCTCATCAATTATAAAGTTGAAAGAAATCCCATGATATTTCAATTATGAAAGAACGTGTTTTCTTACATTTTCATATTTCGCAATAAGAGATTTATGATACATCTCTCTTCGCTTTTGGAAAGAGAATTGTTGCCAATATTAAAATAACTCAATCGAGATCGCGAGCGTTAGTTATTTGATAAAACCTTATGATTCCTTTTCGTGGAAAAACCGGAAGGAAGGCGGCTCTTTCGTAACGAGACTCGTACCCGATGCTGCAAGAGCGTTATGCGGCGTTATTCGCGGATAGATTTTAGCCCACGCGTAAAAGGCGATATACTGTCGAGTGTATGAGATATTCTCGCACGAGCATGGTAATGACGTGACATATACGCACGGCTGAAGAAATGTACGCATATTAAACGAACGCCGCGAGGGCATCCGCGGTGTCACCTGCGCCTTATGCAATGTCGCGACTGGACTAAATGTCGTCCCGAATAAACGCGCGTGGGTCGCTAATATCAAACGAGGCGAGCGCGAAAAAATCGCCCGGGTCGAGCCACACTAATTCATCATTTTTTCACGATTCTCTCGGCGATTATTTCTCTTATAAATTTCGGTATTAGCATATTTTAGTCAATATATCAGCAGAAGATTAATACAAATGTAATGTATTGCATTAACAATGACAGAAAAAATATTTGATATTTAAAGGAAAATATATTTCGAGTTTTTCAACGAATATAAAATGTATCGGACAAAATTTATACGTATTTTCAAATATTATTCTTAATATTTGCTATAATTGTAGAATCGGTTAAAATTCTTCCAATCATGCAATTCTAGCCTTGTACTTTTTATTAAAGTACGAAGTTATAAATTACGCATCTCGAGAAATAAAGAAATAAATATTGTGAACTTTCTAGATAATAGCCCATGTTTCTATTCAAGCGTATGACACAGTTTATAGTTTAGAACGGGTTAGTACGGAATTATTATGGCGTACATGCGACTTAGAAAAGTCCAGAGGTGATCAATAGACGATTATAGGTCTCTAACGCGTTTTCAATGAAATTAATGGTTACTCTTTTAACTCGTCGCCTCCGCATCGAACGTATCGCAAGCGCGAAAGCCCGTCTGGTGCACCTGTGTGCGCTCTGCGTGCGAGAGAAGTAATAAAGGTCGCGTAGCAAAATCATTCTCCGAGTCTTTTTCCGGACAAGCAGAATCTACTTAAAATACCATCGATGCACGCTATAACGAAATTTATGCAAACGATCATATATGCAAAGGTGAAGTCTGGAATAACAATCAGAGTTACGTTATACCATGACTATCGATCGAATAATAATTGA